ATCTAGATTTTCTTGTTAATCAATTACCATTATTGTTAGAAAATGTTCTATTAGCCACGCGAAAAAGTATGTATTTTCAATAAGACGGTGCACCAGCACACAAAGCCATCATTGTTAAAGAATATTTAAATGATATTTTTCCTAACCGATGGATTGGTACCCATGGAATAATTTCATGGCCAGCAAGATCTCCAGATTTGAACCCATTAGATTTTTTTTTTATGATTAATAGATTTAATAATTTAATAATTTAATAGATTTAAATAATTAAAATAAAAACAAATATTTTTATTTTTTTTAGTACTCAAAACCATATGAAATAAATATATCAATTTTTGACCAGAAATCTTATTTAATAATATAACTATCTATAATAACATTTTTTACTGTAGAAATTTATGTTTTTCATTTAAAACATTAATTTTTTGTATAAATGAAAATCCTGGGCAATGGCACAAACAATTATTATATATTATTACAATACCATTAGTGTTATATTATATACAATAAATATATATAAACTATCAACAACTATGATAGTTTATTACAAAAAAATCTTATATTAATAGATACTGAACTACTAATCACTAATAATTTTCAGATAATCTGGTACCAAAAATATAATTAAACCTTTACGAAATTAAAGTTTGTTTAGTTTCAAGAAATTAAACTAAAATAAAAAAAAAAAAATCTTTTTATATACTTTTTTGAAAAAATTTAAGTAAGATGTACCTATTTAAAAAAAAGTTAAGTAAACATTAAAACGTCTAAGTCAAATAAAATGTATAAGATTTATTTTTTTGAAGATGTTGATGTTCAATTTCTTTATTTCATTATAACTTTATCGTTTTAATGTTTTTTTGTTTTTTAGAAAAATAGTAATATTTATAAATGAGATTTTATATTTTGATGGACTGTGCGAAAATATATCAAGTGGTAAATCATTAAACAAAACTTATCAATATTAGGAGTAAGTTAGTAAGTTAATTTAATAAAATATTATGTCGGTCGACGACAATCATATAGTTACAACACACGTAAATACCTAGACAAGGATTTGGGATAAACAAGTTATTTTATTAATTCTTCTCTAAAAATACCATAACTATTTCAATTAACTACCGATAAATGTTAACTACTTATACGTAAATTATATTTAAACAAAAATTAAAAAATTTATAATAAATTTAATGTCTGTCAATTGAATTACAATCACATAACATGACGTGGTGAAGTTAGCAAATAAAATTAGAAACTTTTCCAGAATAGATCTATGAGATATGCCATATTGCCATATTTGCCCTTGGTAATAAAATAATTTAGTTTGCACAAAAAAAGAAAAATCAAAATATAATAATAAAAAAATTTAAAAAAACAAAATATTAAAAAGGAAATAAATGTTTATATTTACCGTTATATTTGTTTTAATAAATTATTTATACTTGCAACTTTTATTTTAAAGAAACTACTTTTTTCTCCAAGCTTATTCTCTCATTGGTTTCCTAGATTAACGAACAATGACTGAGGGATGAATAACTAAATATAGAAAGTAACGTCAGGATGAAAAAACGTAATCGAAAAAAATACTTAAAATAAGCCGGTGTCAGGTTACTCATCGTTAAGGTGGTTGTAAATATACCAAGACGAAATGGGTGATTTATTATACACTTGCAATTTATAATAATATAAACGTGCTATACATAAACTTTGGACGCGTAAAGTTTACAAAACACTACATACGATCGGTCGGCATGAAAACCGGACCCGTGTGACCCATGAAAGAAATATACAGGACGTAATACTATAATAAAATAACCCCTATAAATGCAAAATGAAAAATAATCAAATATTAACGACGAAATATATAGTAAAGAAAGAGGTAAAAATAGTATACTTAATTACGAGTGACCGACGGAAATTTTAAATTGGATTATTGTGCACTGTAATAATAAAATAATAAATTATTTTAAAAATATTTAATTTCGAAATATATGAATTAAGTTAATTCTTTAATCTTAATATTTCGATTTTTCTATGCAAGTACATTTACAAATTACATAGAAACATCCATACTTGATAGATTTAAAAAAAATTCAAATAAATCATTATGATTATACTCGTTCATATGAATATTATAAGACATAATTTTAAGACAATAACATGTAACAATTCAAAAGTAGTCTTATTTATTATAATCTACATTAAGAATTCGTATATTGTTCAGGAAGTTTATTGATTAAATACGTAAGAACGCTAGTGTCAATAGAACAGCTTATTTATTTGTTCGGAAAATAAACTTTATTGGGTTTTCCGAGTTGAATTAATTCGGTTCCCTTACGGATAATAACTCCTAGATACGTCCTCCAAGACAGTCAGTTATGTACATAAATACTTATATATATATATATATATTTATATAAATGAAATTAGCTTGCGTCTTTTATATGAAAGACCCATTTAATCGCATAACAACCCCGTCGCCAGTCCTCGAGACAGCAGTCGGTTTACGCCGAATCCCTTATTGGACCAGTGCACACCATGCGCATTTACCGCTATACGTATACGTACCCTTCACCATTATTTTGAGGGTTGTGAAGAAGGGGAGTGAGACATAGTTGAGAAAATAACACAACGAAAAATACGGCCGTTCTATAATATGGTCGACCGGATCGAGTATAATTTTTAATTTACGTACATACGTCTTTCGCTAAAACTAAGACAATTTAATAGGTCTTTATTTATTGTACTCCCGGACCTTGAAACTTATAAGCCATATACAATTTTCACGAAACATTGCTATACCAATTATATCGTTAATCTATTAATATATGTTCATAACATAACTATTAAATCAGTATATTTTGAAAAAATTAGTAAACCTTGTTATATACTTTGCAAATAGTTGTTAATCGCCACTGGGCAGATGTACCATCGGTTTAGCAGGTTTAGATTAGTTGGTTCCCAACCTTTTTGACACTACGGATCACTTAGAGAACATTCGTTATGTCACAGATCACCTCAATTGTAGACCTTATTTTTCTTATACACAATTCAATTTAATTCAATTTTTTTCACACATTTTAGAATTTAGATTATGAATAAATCGAATCAATGAAATTCCTTAGAACAGGTTTATAATAATATTTAAAATTGTTCATTTTCAAGTAACAGCTCAAAATTTTTTAACAATTTAATGCAAATTACTATTATAAAAAAAATATACATCGAATTATTATATTTATATTCGTAAGAAAATTACAATTATAAAAACACTTCAATGTGATTTTTGAGCTTGCATTTCCTTAGCTAAAATATTCTTGTGATAATAATAGTATACTGCTAAAAACTATACGCATGTTTTTAGTGGCCTCCAAACAATTTCTTTGTTTATTTTTAATGTAGAGCAGTCCAATAAATTTTATTTATAGGTCGTCATATTTTCTTTTTGAAGCCATTTAATTTAACTGTTAAATGTTAACACTAAGATACGAAAAATTAAAAAAGCACAAACGTCGACTACGGAGTACTACGGGAACACTATCAACAAAAACGCATTGATAAACGCATTGATTAAATTTGTACAATATTAAACTTTGAACATGTCTGTTGTATTCTACCGATATAAATATAAGTAATAATATGTAAATAAAATATAAATAAATGGCGTACTATGTACGATTTTCGGGGTTTGTGTAACGCGCCAAAAGAAAAACGAAATATTTTTAAATTATGTAGGTGTGGTTCGCGGACCATAAGTTGAGAACTTCTGGTTTAGTGTAGAATATATCATCATCATGTTCCCCATCAGAATATGATTAGATTACTTTCGAATTCTATTCATGATTTTAATTTTATGAAGAAAATATTTTTCTGAAGACGTTGATGTGCATTAATCTATAATAATGTCTGCTGACTAATGGTTTATTAATGATAATTATATTAAGTTTAAATTCAAGAAATAGAGAAAGACAAATCTAAATGTAGATAAGCAATGTGTAAATTATCTTCATCACTCCGTTCTACAAACTCTAAATTATTGTGTTAATTTATAAGCCATTAGTCAACGATAATAGATTAATGGATGAGATATAATTAAGAAATATCAAGTAGGTACCTATATTATAATACTGAAATAATATGGAAAACTTGTACTGTTAAAAATTTAGAAAGTTTTATTGTTACGGATTATCATTAGTAGATAAAATAAACATAAAAAATACATGCACAACATAAATATACTTCATAAATCCCCAAAAAGTGTTCACTATTATTCCTTTGATTGGTGAAAATATTTTTTTAAGTATCTATAGTAATGTAATCTAAATTGCAAATTTAATTGTATTGCTTCAATGTTTATTCTAAACATTAATTTTTAAGAAATAGTATGTAATTTTTAAAATAAAATTAGTATATATATATATATTAGGGTGGTTGTAAGTTACAGAAGAAAAATTTTTTTTTAAATATTCTTTGGCCAGGTACCAGCCATTTTTTTCATTATAATCAGTAAGTAATTGGGACTAAATTTGGTCATGATAACTCACCTCCTTCCCGTGCCTCAAAAGGGTTGAAAATTTGTCATAGAGGATAGTTTTGTAGTTTTGTGAATTTAACTCAAAAACTATAGTACTTAGCGAAAAAATGTATAGAAGGTTAATTATGTATTTTAATGTTACTCATAAAACATATATTTAAAAAATTTGTCGTAAGTCTATAATTTTCCAAGAAAAATAGTAAAAAAGTAAAAGTAAAAGTAAAAAAGTAGATATTTTATATTTATTCAAATGTATTTGATAAAATATTAAAAATACGAAAAAATTTCTTACATGAAAATCGAATAAAATTTAATTTCCTGAAAAAAAATGTAATTTGTAATAGCCGAATTCATGTAAATTATTCTAATATTATAGCAGTTATAATAAAATTGTATTTTAATAATCCCATTTTATTATAAAACATATTTTTTACATCCAAATGTATTTTAATTATTTTTTATAAGTTTATTTTAAAACTTCAATACTAAATCCCGGGTGTTGCTTTCTATAATCTTGAACAATCTAAAATTATAAATAATAAATTTTAATTTATTTAATTTATTTATTCCACGAACATAAAATACTAAAAATTACCTGTAACATATATTGTTATTGTTCCTCTTGTTTCGTAAATTTGTCGTTAAACTCCTCCATCAATTTCACACCTCTTTCTGCATTATCATTGACAACTTTTAATGTACTTATAATATTCTTTGCTTCTTTATATTCGGTGGTTGTTTTCCATAAACTTGGATCCTTTTGTAAAAAGTCCGGGAAGATACGAAATTATTGAGAGAACTGTATCGATTTATTTTATATTAATTCAAATGGAAAATCTTTACATGCAAAATGTTAAACGTCATCAAATTGTAAAACAATTTTTTTTGATATTCTTTTTTCAAATTCATCAGTATTGATTTCTTCTTAATTTATTTCCAATATCCGTTTTGCCATTTTAGATTTTGTATTACTATCAATGCGATTATCAAATAAAGAAAATACGGCACAATCATAATTTATGTACCACAAATGGTTGATCAATTTTTTTATTGCTATTTCTTACATTTTTTTATTATGTTTTGTATAATCAACTAATTTTTTTAAAAAAATTATATCATTAAGTGGAGCTGTTATTGGATCGGAGCACATATCCATGTTTCTAAATAACATTTTACAATGAAACAACATATTTCTTGTAAACCTCTTTTTTCAATTATCGAGAACTTTAACTGCTGATAAAATAACAAAATTTTAAAACAAAATAACACCGAGCTAAATGGTAAGCACCAGGTGGTCGAAAATGTATACCTCGTGGAGGTGATTTCCCCGAAAATATCATCACAAGTTCCATAAATTCTTTATAGTCATCTCTTGGATAATTATCTTCGGGTTTTTTTTTTTTTGTACAAAATAATAAAACATCTTCAATTACATATTTTAATTCTTCAAATACTTCTGGGTGTGATATTCATGTATGAAAATTACGTAAATCTAAATTCTGCCAGTTATTTTTAAATCGTTTAAACAATAGAATATCAGGTCCAGGCTTAACAGATAGTTTTGATGTAATAAAAACAGTTTGTAAAACGATTTCAAAAATATTGTGACGACAAGCAAAAAATAGAATCGGTTTAACTTTTGTTCAAGAAGAACGCATGCACCATTTAGACGGCCACTATTTGATGCAGTAGTGTCAAATACGAAATCTTCAACTTGATCTAATAGACACCAATCGTTTAAAGTATTATACACAGCTGAACATATTTTATTTCCATTCCCAGATGGTAATTGTGGAACTCTTAATAATTGTTCAACATTAAGAGCTGTGATAATCACAAGAAGATGATCTATTGTGTCCTTTCTTGTTAAGTCTGGTAGTAATTTTGAATCCCAATGCACAACGCAATATTATAGATTTACATTTAAAAAATTAGATTTTATAGCTTCAGATAATTGTTCATGACACTTTTCTTGAACTCTTTTAATTGAAAATCTATTAATTATGTACTTACTAGTATTGACATCAAACGATTCAGCTGCAGCTGTAAGTAAATATACAGCATCTCGGTCACTTACTTTGCATTTATCTAATGCTGCCGATAAACGGTGGTTTATAATTTCCTTTCTTGCTCGTTTGATTGATGATGGTCCAGGACTTTCAAGATTTATAATTTCATCTTCATCAGTGAAGTTTTTATCTGATGTATAGTCCATAGACACAACTGTAGTATAAAAAATTATTAGAAACATTGTTTTTGAAAGTAATGATTTAAAATTATTAATTTACATTAATTTTAAAAATATAATCATAAAATAAAATAATTATATAAACTACCTGTTGATTTCGATGCGATTTCGTGTTTTTCTTTCTGTCTAGCTTTTTATTTGGGAAAACGTGAGTTGGGTCCCGAGCTATTTAATCGCTTAAAATAAACACGAGTTGGGTCCACGATATTATTCGATAATACTCAAATTGGGTCCGTGGTAATTTCCGGCTATATGAGTAGTCTTAACAATAATCAGTAATATCTTATCTTACAATCTTATAATCATATTGTAACTTGTCAGTATACCGGCACGTGTCAAGGATAAAAGTCCATCAAATAAAATATAAAAAGTATAGCCTGTTTTTTTTTTTTGTTGTTATATTACATATAAAAATTAAATTATGGATTTCATGTCAAGCGAAAAAGGTAAAAAAATTATCATTAAAGACGGATTTAAATTTCGCTTCCACAAAATGTTGCGGAATGATGCACAACGTTGGAAATTTTATCTTAATATCTGTAAGTGTTTTTTAAAACTATCTTGCACTTTAGACATAATAGATAAATGTAACGTGCATAATCACCAAAAATGTGATGAGAAGGTTCTGAATAGACAAAAGTTAAGTAACTCGGTTAAAAGAATGATATTTCTACACGACCTTCAAAGATCATTAGATCTGAGTTGAAAAACAGCGATATAATTTCGATAGACACTAATGATTTGAAATTAATAAAAAACAACATTCATCATGCTCGTAAAGTACTATATCCTAAATTACCTAAAAGCATACAAGACACCCATAGTTGTTTAACCACAATGAACATAACTACAAACAGAAGCGAACCATTTTTATTCTGTAATAATTTGGTAGATAATATCATAGGTTTTTCAACTGAGACGAATTTGAAAGCTTTGTGTGATGTTACTAAAGTATACATGGACGGGACGTTTAAAAGTTGTACGAAATACTTTTTAAAACGTTTTACTATTCATGGATTTCGAAATGGATTGTATGTACCATTGGTTTTCTTAGTATTACCCAACAAAACATTAGAAACGTACACTTAAGCTTTTCAGTATACTGTGAATTATTGCACGTCTCTTCAACTGAATTTTCAACCTACCGAAATATATGTCGAATTTGAGGTGTCAATTCATACGTCTGTCAAGTGTGTTTGGCCAAATGCCATTAAGGGTTGTAGATTTCACTTAGCGCAAAGTTGGTGGCAAAAAATTCAACAGCTTGGGCTATCAAACGCGTATAAACGTTCCGATAATGATATAAGTGACTATCTTAAGTGTGTTTTTGATTTACCGTTTTTGAAACCAAAGGAGGTGTTTGATTGTTTTATTGATGATTTAATGACTATCAAACCAATTAATACAAACGTCGATAAATTTTGTGATTATCTTCTATAAACATATATTGAGCAAGATGCATTATTTCCTCCTAATATTTGGACCGAGTTTGCAACAACCACAAATCGCACCACAAATAGTTGTGAAAGTTTTCATGAAAAATTAAATGCTAGTTTCAGTGCAGCTCATCCTAACATTTTTGTTACAATAGAAATTTTACTTGGGATCCAAAGTGAAATTTACGTATCACTTTGGAGCTCAGTTATAACATTTTAAAAGTTAAAAAATAAGGACCACCCTAATATATAAATATATATATGTATGAATACCAACATAAATAATTCTGTAGATTTTATTATTAAACGTCGAGAATAATGACAAAAAATGTAACTTCTAAAGATTTTATCAATTAATAAAATATAAACTTTAATCCATAAATATCTATATAATATTTAATACCATCAGTCTAAGATCATGATATGAATATCAATACCATACTCAACTCTACAATAATATCTTTGTGCAGCTTAGAAATTGTAATGTTAAAAGTTTCAATTCAATTAAAATTTAATTTTTCTAATCGATTAATGTTGATGATTTTTATATAATCTTACTATCATAACCATTGATGAACGTGAACATAATCAGACTAGATACGATGAAAATATAAATCCGTTCTAGATTTTTGAACGTTTAAAAATTAACGTAATTAAATACAACAACATCCCACTCAATAAAATATGACAAAACAAACTGATATATGGTTACTGTATAATACAAATATACAAATATTAAAATAAAATATGAACAATATGTAGTATTACATATTGTCTAACTCATTATTTTGTGCTAAAACACTGAAATGAAAATCAGCACAGTATACCTACGTACGATTCCAAATGGTAATTTTTAATGACAATTCCTTGAAATTTTGTAATTTTCTGGAGAACTACCGAAGATACACCATTTGTTATCCTATATAATATTATTATTATTGTAAAACGCATACATCGGGAGTTAATATTACTAAGAATACTTCCTCTTTTAATTTATTTTGCTTTTTGATACTACACTCGAATAATAATGAGTTTCCTCAAAATACACATTATACACCTGCGTATATCCGAATAAGTTTGATTAATATTCTTTACGATTGTTTAATAACTTTATTACAATGATAACCTGATCGTTTCTCAAATCGACCGACATCAAAATTTTGATAACATTACCGCAGCCGCCATCGTTTGAAAAATAAAAATAACATATATTCTAATATCACACATGCCAAATGTATTGTTCGGTTCGCATTTTCTACTCAATATCTAGATATCGTGTTAAACGAGATGAAGATACGCTTAATAATTGGTAATTTTAATTCGATTTTTCTAATGAGAAAAAAGGCAATTATCTTATTGAAATTATCGTATAGGTCAAAAATCAAATGTCAATCAAAATTAATTTGAACCAGGAGCATATTTAAGTAGGAGCTATGGTCCTGCTACCCAGAGCGGGTCAATTTTTAAAAACTCAGTGGGGTGGTAAATTTCTAAAAGTTTAGAGGAAAAAGACAATTTTTTATTTCATAAGTTAATATACAAGACCATGACCAATGGTTCTCAACCTTTGTGAGCGTGATTTTAAAATTTAAAATTAAACTATTCGTGACTACAAAATAATATAAATAAAAAAATATAATCCTAATCTTATAAATTTAAATTATAATTTCTAACCAATATCAATAATTGACCAATTTTTTTCTTACATTTCAACATTTAACTCATTTAATGATTCAAAATATCACTTAAAAGAACCAAATTGTCTATCTACACATCATCATTAAATTTTTCAGCAAATGAGTAGTTTCTTTCTGTTAGAAAAATATGTATTTCTGTGCATAAATACATGACACGTTTTATAACATACTACAACGCTTTTTTAAAAATTTGGCCACTAATACTAATATTTTATCTACTGAACAGTATAATGAGTTGTGCACTTCAAAATGTCACTTTTCTAGAACATGTTATAATAAGTAAATAATAGTTAAAGTAAAATATTTATATAATAGTAATAATATAATAATATTATTATCCGGTCCGGTCGACGGGCGAGCGGTTGTACCCCAGTTGGGAGGCCGGGGAGGGTAATCGAATGTTCTAGATCATCGATATTCCCGAAATAGCCTTTGAATTTCCAGCGTACCGGTTTGGTCGGTCCGATGTGGCGGTGTAAACGCGTATAGTGCACTCCAAGACTAGACCGGACCGGACCGTATCATTTATTATATAGGTACTAGAAAAGACCGATCCCGGACCGACATTCAAAAATAAAACCAAATTAAGTAAAATGTTAAAAATAAAATATAAAACCATATAATTATAAAGTTGTCCGCCATGTATTTGCTAGGACTGTTCGATTGTTTCAATTAATCGATTATTATTTTTAAAAATATTTATCACTGATTAATCACATAACCGATTAATCGAAATGCGACTGTTCATTGTAAATTCTTGGGTACGACTCTGCGCACATTTACCTTTTTTACGACACGATTGCGCACAAAATCACAACTCGTTTGCGCACACATATTTTAGGTTTAAATAATAAAGGTACAACTCATTTGAGCATATTTCCTTTCTTTTGCTTAATTTTAATTAATTAATAGACTGTATAAAATAATAATATATATGCATATTGTATATAAAAAAAAATAATATATAAATTAAGATTTAACTATTTTGCATTTCTAAGTATTTATTATATAATTTAACATCGAGCGACCAGAAATTGGCGAGAATAAGATATATATACAACAATATAATACAGATAAAAGTAATAATAACGTCAATGATTATACGCGTAAACAATATTGTCAATTATTAATTTAATATTACAAAAATTAAAATATTTTAAAAAACATGCATTGTAGGTTTAATAAGTAATAATAGTAGTCTATTAGTTATAAAATTATACTAATTTAGAATGGTGGCATTTAAGTCCGATTTTCTTTATATAAGTTAAACGATTAATAATATTATTTTTATATTCATTCCAAATGTTTTCCAATTGTATCTCCTTATTAATTATCTCTTTTCTTTTGAAATTTATGATTTTATTGTTTATTGAATTAATTTTTAAATCAGTGTCACTTTGAATTTCAATAATGACGTCGATTACTTGATGTATGTGCGGATGAGCAGAGTAAAACTGACTGTTATATTGTTTGTGATAACTCTCTGCACCATTAGTAGTCTTAGGATTATTAGTAGGTTTACAAGCCCATAATGTTGGAGGAAAATTGCTGTCCGATGCAATGTAATTTTCTAAAATATAATCGGAAAATATAGAAATATTACTAGACGTAGTACTTGGTGCTATCGACATAAGATCACAAAATCCATCAGAAACTTCGTCAAGAGGTAAATAACTTAATCCAAAAAAACATTTCATCCATTTGCCAACTTCTGAGTCGTTGTTTAAGTACTCGCTCGATAATAATTTATGTTGTTGAATATGTCTAAACCAATTTTGCCCTAAATGAAAGTTACAACACGCGATTTTGCAGTAAGGGAAAATTTGCAATACTGCATTATGCGCAAATTTTTCAAAGTCGACATGAAAATTGCTTAAATTTATTATATTACCAGTAATTTGAATACATATATTTTGTAATGTTTTCCACATATTGATGTAAGTATCAGTATGTTTGTTACTTAAAAAACAAAACGCCACAGGAACATAAAAATTGTTTTTAAATACGTGAATAGTATAAAGTTGAACAAAATATTCGGAGCGAATGAAAATGTCCCATCCCCAAAAACGTGTTCTGCACTTTGTAGCAATTCCAAATTTTGTTTACATGTAAATATAAATATATTTTCATCATCACTAACGAAAGAAAATGTATTACCTTTGTAAGTAAGATTATGCTGATCATCAATTAATTGTTTTTTAGCATCTTCTAAAGATCTCGGTATGTTTGGAAAGGATTTTTTTCGTTTTTCATACATGGATCTTCGAATTAATTTCATATCGCTATATTGAAGATGTTCAGAGTTATCATTGTTTTTCAATTCCCGGCGTATTAGTTTATTTGGTTTAATATGTAAATCCTCTTCAGCTCAACGTTTCAATTTGCTTCTTACTACTTCTCGATGAATTGTTCGGTCGTCGTACTCGTCATGGGTATGCGTGTTGGTCATTTTTAAAATTTTATATGATTCATTAACTAACCTAACTACAGCACTTACGGAACATTTTTTATTTGTACACCTAAAATGTTTATCGCCAGATTTTAAAGTTCGGAATTCTCTAAATTTATAACTTTCTATGTTTAAACATTTTTTTCCTCGACGCGTTTCAAAAACATCACAAATTTCGATATCCATAGTCAATACAGTTAGTAGTTATAGTACAGCTTTCTGGCGAACGACTGTTTAAAAGTATTACGCTTTCCTAATACACGACGATTATTTTAAATCATTATATATTGATATTGATATGCTGGTAATTTGTGCTGATAATTTGTACCGATAATTCAATTACTTTAGGTAAGTCCAAATTTAAAAATATAAAATACATGTTACTTAGTGATTATGTTGTGCGCAAACGAGTCGTCCGTTTACAGGTAAACGACTGATTTCGTTGTGCGCAAACGAGTCATCGATATCCAGGTAAAAAATTTAAATTGTGCGCAAACGAGTTGCACCGAAATTCTTAACATATTACCATGGTATAATCACAGAATGGTGGTATACAGGGCCGGCCTTAGGTAGGTATTTTGCTGCCCGAAGCGATTTAAAAATTTCCGTCCATTAAATTATAATACTTATACCTATATTTGCATAGAAATAAATTAATAATGAATAAACATACTTTTTATTGAAGAAAAACTAATCTAAATTAAAATAAATCCAGATCTTCATTAATAAATACAAATATTTTCATAATCATTAGGTACCTATTTAAACTGTATAGAATACTAAAGAAAGTTATATGAATGGTACATAATAAGTACATAAAGATAAGTTATCTGCATTTTCTTGCTTTTGCATTAGCAAAATCTTTTACCGTGTCAACGTCATTTAGTTGTTCTGCCAATTCATGTTCAATTGCTATTATAGCTAATCCACTTTATCTTGAACTATGGTTGATCTTAAATATGTTTTAGTAAGTTTGAGTTTAGAAAAAACTCCGTTCTTCACTGACGACCGTTACTGGTAGTGTTAAAAGTATACGCAATGCTATACATATATGTATACATATATATATATGATAAATAGTTAAATGGGAGATAAATTTGATTGAACCATTATCGTCAAAACTGTTGATTCGTCCGCTATTTCAATCCCATTAATATCGGCGGAATCACTATCCGTTAACACGAGTCGTAAATCAGCATAGTGTTCATCGCATGTCATAATTTTGATTTTTTCAATTTCATACAAAAATAAAAATATATCATTATGTTCTTTTGATTTTTCAAATTTTTCAGTAATACGATTAATAGCAATATCGAGAATAAAATTAAAAAAATTAACTTTCAAATGTAGTTTTGGGTCATTTATCGGTTCGTCCACATTCTAATAATTGAAATTTCTTCGAACACGTCGTACCAGAATTCTACCCTGGGTATGTTCAATAACAGGTTTTTTTTTTTTTGAAGATATCCACTTATAGCTTAGATTAATTTAAGATTAAGTTAGATTAAGTTAACCTTGTATAAGTAATGTTTATAAAATATTTAATTATATTTTGCAAAAATTTAAGCTGTATAATAATATAAAATATAAAAACGTGTGAGCGAAAATTAATTATTAAATATACCTAGTATAACATTTGGTATTTATAAACACCAATGATTTCTGGGCTCATGACTGGTCATCTAGACTGAATTTATATAAGAATGAATATCCTAGACTAAAAAATAATTTTTTATTGTTTCTATATTTGGCAAGTTTAGGGACCATAGTTTTAAAATTTAATATTCGAATGAAAAAATTGATAAAACGTACATACTATAATTAACTATATGCCTACAGTTAAGAGGCTGTACTTAATATTTTTACATTAAAATAGGTACTCTAAAATTACTATTAACGCTAAAGAGATAGATTATAAACAGAAAATAATATACATATACACCATAGATACATTTAGAATATCGATATTATTAATTATAATCTGTATAATTAAAATTGTGAGAAACAAAATAATATAATATACACCTAACCAACCAAACAACATACACTATAATAAAATTTTTATTTACGTAAGTAGATATTTCCTCATTCTGGTTGCATATTCGCATATTTAATATACAGTAGTAAATTAATATATATATTTAATATATCATTGGTTTAAAAATCAGTATACATACAAAAATGCAATGATAATATAAAATTCAGAATAAGTATAAACAAATTTCAAGTCAAATCTGTCCACAAAATGATTTATAATGTTCTAATGGAAATAATATCATATACAGTTAAAAAATTATTCTTAACTGAAATGTATCATTTCATTTTAATTTACATTATTAATACAACAATATGTACAATTAACTATTAAGTTAACTATTTGATTTTAATATAATACTCATCAATTATAGTTAAATATATTTTCCTATAATATGGCAATTTCATATTAAATTTTAACAGTTTAAAAATAAAATACAATTTTTTTAAATGTTTATTTTCATAACATTATTTTCAGAAAAAACTTAACTAAAATTATTTATTTCAAAAATGAATATTTTTGTACATTTAAACTGCCATAAAAACGTTATTCAAGAAATTTCCTCTACAATTATTTCTAGAAAATAGAATTCATAAATGATGCACATTTAAAATTGTTATATTTTAACTGAAATATTAAAATGTACATTTATCTCTCAATTTCTTCATTAAATTCATTAAATCTGAATAATGCATTATAAGATCAGTTAATGAAAATTAAGTAATATGATTATCAATTATGATTCATCAGTTAATATAATAAATGCTATAAAAGCTATAAAGATATAAAATTGTTTCTCTATGATACTCAATATTCAATAAGAATTTATTTTTCACACTTAAATATAATTCTTTTACAACTCATGAGACTTTTCTTATAGACACTCTTTATATATACTATTCACAATAAATTTGATGAGTTGGATAGTAGTGTGTTTAAATAAAAACTTGGTACTTAAAATGAATAAAATTGTTATTTATTAAAATTTTTTAATCAATCATCGACTTCTTTTTGGAGTTTTAATAAATGTTGGTAAAGATGGTAATGGAAGTTTCAATGTATACTTTGTTTTATCATCTTTTACTGGTGTAGCTCCTACTACTTTCATTAGCATAATCAATCTATAAAATAAAATAATAAATTTTAAACGAATTACTACACAAGTATAAATAAAAAATAAAATTACCTTTTTTGACTACTCATTGGGAGGAATGGTGAAACCCAACTTAAGTCAAAAGTATTCTTGTTAATTAAAATCAAGATTATAATTATATGACAAACACATTTATCCTTCATTTTCGATGAAAAATCTCTGAAAAGTTTTAAAATAAATAAATAAATATAATTGACCAATTTTCTATATTTATTTACCGCCCAGTAATACGAAATTCCAAAAAATTATCCAACACTTTATCATTTATCACTTCACAATTTGGATAAAGAACAAAATTTGCATAATTCAAATCAGCTGATTTATATTTTAACAACTGCACCAGTCCATCAGCAAATGTAAGAAGGCAAATATTTTGAATTGATTTATGAGATAACTTTTGAATATTTACAATAAAAAATCTTGTTAAACTGAAAACAAAATGAACAAATTCAAAAAGTTACAAAATTATATTTTATAACAAGTATTGATAAATATCGAAGCATTTTTGGTATGATCCATGCACATTTAAATTTTTTCTTTAATTTATAAAATTAAAATAATATATTACATTTAAAATATAACTTTTTTATTAAAATACTTTATTTTAACTCAAAAATATAAAAGGTAATTTAATATACTTTAACATTTAATGAAGTAATTAATATAAAATAATTAACTACCACTGTAAACATTATATTATATATATTTTAAAAATACCATAAGTAAAAAATAATTAATTTATTGAAGAGTGTAACTCTTAAATTTGATATAGAAATTCTGCCACATTAAATTTGACTTTATTAACTATTATTAAGAGTCAGCACAAAATTAAATAATATAAATACATTATATAAAGTATAAAGATAAAATATACAGAATAAACTAAATAGTCGATGAATTATCACATAATAGTTATGTTGTTTCATAAAATCATTACATTATTAGTTGTGCCTACAAACATAATTCCGAAAACATAATACAAAATATAAAAAAGTATCATGTTGCATTATACAAAAATTTATATTATACCTAAAATTATATTATAATTTAAATATGATCACAGAATATTGTATTAATCGATTTATAAATATTTTAATTTAAAAAAATAATATATTTGTATGAAAAACTCCCTAGAAAAAATTACAATTAATAATTACTATATAAATAATAAATTTAAAGAATACTATAAACATATCAATGTTATTGATTTATTATACACTGTATTCCTTTTGGATTTTAATAATTTACTTACTCTTCATTATCACTCTTAATTGGTAGCATGCTTATAATTTGTTTTGCATAATCAGTCATTAAATCTATTTCACTTTCATTTAATAATGTTGAAACTGGATATACCAAATCAAGTTTGTTTGAAAACCGATTACTTCCATCAGGTAAATAAATTGAAAATGGATTTGGCTTAGAAAACGACGATTCCAACATATCGGCTGTAAAATAAATAAAATTATTTTATACTAATTTTACATTTATAATTAATTCTATGCTTACAAGAAGATGAAATATTATCAAAAACATCAGTCTTAGAATCCACTGTATCATTAATTCTTGATTTTGACATACGTATAGACTTTCTTGTTCCAAATACCTTGTTGAATTCATGATTTTTATCAGTCAATGAATCGTCTTCAAATGTTTTTGTTTTAAAATAATCAGGCTTTTTAAGATACATCACTTTTGTTCCGTAAATTAAAACCTAAATCATACATTTATAGGAGTAATCAATTTTGTATTGTAAAATTTAAGATTTAATTTAAAACAAACCATAAATATTTATAAAAATAAATTGTTTTTAAACAATTACAAACCTTATTTGTTTTCTTATTTCTCAAAACTAAATATTTTTTTACAGATTCCTTTCTACTAGTATCTTCTTCTTCAACAGTACCACCATGATGGTTGAATATTTTTAATATAGGTCTTTTAGATGTATCGTCAAATGCCATTCCACAATCCAACAATTCTGTTGAATTTATATGACCAACTTCAGTAATAGCTAAGAAACAAAACAAGCATTTAGTAACTTAAAAATCTTCAAAAAACTTAAAGAAAATGTTATTGTTTTATTTAAATTATATTATTTGTATTATTAAAACTAATATAATGAAATTGGAAACAATAAACAATTGCTAAAATAAATGTAATTTCAAATATTTCTTAAAAACATTTTTTTTTTAAATTGTTCAAGCAAAATATTTATATTACATACAACTGTCTCCCAAAGATGAAATTGTATAGCAAAAAAAATCAAGTTCCCTGCTTATCTAGAAAAATATACTTATTATAGTTTATGATGAAACCAAATTAAATATATGCTTAGTAAAGATTTTATTGGATAATTCACCAATCGAATTTCATTTTAAAATAAATTTTATAGGTAAGTAGTTTGATTATTTTAATATAAAATTTTTTACTATAAATCATAATATATCATAATTTTTCATTATAATTCTGTATAATATGATATAAAAACAACATTTTTTTCATTATATATCTAAAATCAAGACCAAATCTTAAAAAAAATGTAAAAAAAGGTCAAATATTTATTGTACAAGAAACCAACCACCAAAATTAGCATAAGGTAATATAGGGTTTTTTAAACTTGGTAATCACATACCTCTTAATAGAAAGTCACATTGGTCAGGTTTTAATGAAATTAGTATGCATTAAAAATAAAATATATAATTTGAAAAATTAAACAGCATAAGACCAATAATTATTTATTTATTTATTAATTAATTAACGGGTAGAACCCTTTACAACAATTTAGCACATAATAATTACATCAATAATACAAATCATACACATAAGTGTATAAAACAAAAAGTATAACAATAATAATAATTTTAAAGAAACAAAGCAAAGGACAATGCATAAGAAAATTGGTATAATTTATAAATTACAATAATACAGTTAATTTCATTACTATTGATGAATGGTGCTCTCGTTAACCAATCGCATAATATGATCCAAAGGATTATTATGACCGTAGTTAGTGGTGTAAGCAGAAACTATGTAGGGAACATGATGTCTAGTGTTGCGAGAGGGGACTTTAAAATTGACTAATGACAAAAGAGAGAGAGCGTCAACACTACCATCTACCAGTTTGCGCAAAAATACTAGGTTGGCATTAACTCGTCGATCGCCAATGATAAAAGGCTAAATTCCTGCATAACTATAGAATAATCATGAGGGGGGTGTTTTATTTTTAATATAAATGCAGCTTAGGATAAAAATCTTCTTTAGATCCGTTCTAATAGGCAGGAATCTGTAACCGTATAAGGGTCCCACAAGACTGAGGCATACTCCAATATGGAACGGACAAGAGAGCAATATACAGTTTTCAATGAAGACTATAGATTGAACTCCTTAGATACACGTATTACGAATCCAAGTGTTTTTAATGCTTTACAACATATGTTTTCAGTATGTGTATGGAAGTTGAGATCCGTGTTAAATATGACACCCAAGTCTTTTTTACTATACACAGGAATTAAACTTGTACCATTTATTGAGTATGTGTAATTAATTGACGAGCGATGCCTTAGAAATGACATAGAATGGCATTTTGCAACATTAAATTGCAGCCCAATCTTGTTAAACCACGACACCAGGTTATTAAGATCGTCCTGGAGTGCAATACAGTCAGAGAAATTTTCAATTTTCCGATAAAGTTTTAAGTCGTCAGCAAACATAAGTAGCTCACAGTTTTTGACTACTGCCTGAATGCCATTTACATTTAGAGCAAACAAAATCGGGGATAAATGTCTTCCTTGAGGAACACCAGAAGATATCTTAGAAATGGAAGATTTACAACCAAATACTTTGACCCATTGAACTCTTATCAGCCAGATAGGATTTAAACCATGATATAAGTGGTTCACCAAACCCAGATTTATATAGAGTGTCAATTAGGCATCCATGGTCGACTCTATCAAAGGCTTTGGCAAAATCCGTATAAATAACATCCACTTGGATGTGTTTCTCAATAGCCTCCAGAACAAAATTATTAAAAACCATTAAATTAGTAGTGGCGGAGCAGCCTGGTCTGAACCCATACTGTTCATCAATTAGAATTGAGTAGATCGGCGACTGGATACTCTTCAACACTAACCATTCAAAAAGTTTAGAAATATGACTCAAAATCAAATTTTGTATTTATTATATATACAAAAGTTTGTTTATTCTCAGTTTGATATTTGAAACATGTCAAAGTGTTTTATAATTAATATCAAGTATATAAATTAAATGTATTGTTTATCGAAAGTTATATAAAATATTTTGAAACTGACAAAATAGAGAATTAGGCTCAAATTAGTGTATATAAATAATATAAATAATAAAATGAAGAATTTTAAAATTCACTAATAACTTAATAAACAGATTTATAGATTACATACAATTGTAATAAAACAAGAGCACTTCAATAAGTTTAAACATAATAAGTTAAACACGTAAAAATTCATGGTTTTTGTAAAAATCCTTTTAAATGACTTTACGTTCAATCTTGTTGTTCAAAATCTAACACATTTAACATCTGTTACCATTAATTTGAAATAATTTCAAATTCATTATTGTACCCTAATATAGATCAAATGTTTATCACTACTACCAAATGTATGCATGCATATAGTACGTATTCAAAAAATGTCTATATCAATTTTAATCTTTCACATATCAAGGGCCAATTGGAATTCAAAAGGAATGGAAAATTTCATGATGTTCCTTTGAAAAAGGAACTCTTTCCGTTCCCTGTCCTTTGTTTATAAAAATGGTACTATTCTGTTATGAAGAAATCCATTCCTTCCAAACACTGCCTACCACCGTAAGATAATACTTACCGATGACTGGCGGTACACTAGGTTTCGTGTAAATTCGTTCCACTAACCCTTCCATAACCAACGGTGGAGTTACACTTCCTGCGGTTAGGATAAATAAGTGAAAAATAATCAAATCGATTTGCCACCGTTCCGTGAAGCGCGCACACGGTCGTGCGGCGAAGACAATTTCTGTACGATTATATTTAACACAGCAATTAACACTGCGCCGAACGTACGCATGAACAGAGCGTAATGCTTTCGGTCGGAACACACGAGTTGATATTATAATGAGTCACGTGGACGTAATATGTAAATACGATTAGTTGTCTTGAACCGTGAGTTGACTCTTATCGTTTTTTTTCATTTTTTTTTTTATTATCAGCTCGTATCACGCGCGAACTCAACAATATTGTAGCGACAGTGCGTTTAGCTCACGGAGGTTATAAAAACGTAACAATACAGCGCTGAGAACGTGCGTGATAACCAAAGATTAAACGGAACGCAGACCACAGATAAATACAAATATGTTTCATATACATATGTACTTTTATCAATCTGTGGCACAAACGGAACAAGTTTTACAGGTCGTTGGCCGTAAAACGCTGGCGGACGGTCAAACCTATAATCTGATTTCAGTTACACGTGACAATTATAGTCATGACAACAGTGGCGCAACTAGGGGTGGGATTTAGGGGTTGATACCTATTTTTAGGGCATATAATTGAAGTTTTCAGGCAATTTTTTATAATTTATCTTTGAATTCTTAATTAATAATATATTTGATTATGCGTATCTGGATTTGATCGCTCAAAACATGCACGTTTAGTACGTAATTTACTACACTGTAGTATTAAAAAATACGAGCATATCGACCCATGTTCCTATTTTATTAAAAATAGAAAAAATGAATTAAGTCGAAAGAAATGTTTCTGTTTATAACAATCCAACGACGATCATAACAGCAAGTTTTAAAATTAAATTAAATGTAAATATTTAACAAATAACTACATATTTTGTTATAATTATGTTAAATAAATATAATTAAATATATTGGATTACATGATTTTTATAGTATTGTTTTTAAACTATAATAAATATATTTTTTTACGCATTTTTTTTATTTTTAAAGCATTTTTGCATTTTTTTCTATTCTTCGAGCATTAAAACTTCAGCCCTACTGATAACGCTTTAGAAATATTTTTTTTAAAGTTTTTATGAACTCTAGCTGGTATTAATTTTTATTGATATTTTTCCGTTTTATCAGCCTTTATTAATCTAGATTGGATAGAATCTTTTTAAAGCAAATATAATATCTGTATTACAATACAATAGGGAATATATGAAATACCTGTGGCTTTAAGTTTTTTATTTATAGAACCTATACCTAACTATAATTAAGAATATTGACTACTTATTTTTAAAATTATTTTAATATTGTTGTATTTTCCACTTTTATAATTTTTTTTCATCTACTCGATTAAATTGATCTGTATTAGTAACTAATTTTTATTATGACCCAGATATCAATTTGGTTAAAATACAGAAAATATCACTGCCAATCATGAACTAATAATGTTTAGTTAATGCTTCAAAAAAAAAATAATATTGTATTATAGCCATACTGGAATCAAATGCTGGTGCTATCATGCAAAAAATACATAAATATTACATCTATTTAATTATTTTTTGTATTTTAATCAATCAATTTCAATTTCACAATTAAAGAAAGTAGATACAATATTTTCTAATCGATAAGTACTACACAAAAAAAATTATTTATGATTACGCCATAATAATTAGTAACAAATTATTTAGAACTACATCAACTACAATAGGTTTAACTGAAAATCAATATTTTTATGAAATTTTTTCAAAGTAATTATTACATAAATACATGGTAATCAATACATACTAATATTTGAAACTAAACATACATACTATATATACATTTATAATAAAACATATGGTTTACTGTTTATGAAAAACATAAAGTTAAAAGTTATTTATTATCAGTGAATGACTAAGAATTTGTTCAATTAATTCATTACATACAATTTTAATTCAGTTCTCTATTTTTTTTTTATACGTAATATAAATCTAAACAAGTAAAAAAAAAAAAAAAAAAATAATAAAAAACAGAGCAATTAACAAAAATATTTAATGTATTGTACTGGCATTCCATAAAAACTTTCTTACTGTTTTAACTATTAGGAGTGATTAAATGCATCAAATTCATTTTAATTAAATTCTAATATAACTTATGATAAAAACTTAGGTTAACTTAATGGTACAGATTTTAAAATATATAAACAAATAAGTATACAAATTTTTTTAATTAACATTAATATTTTTCATTATATGAATACTTAATACATTAAAACTGAAAAATATTATTTTATTACCATAAAATAATTATTATAGTTATATAATTATTACATAAAAATACAATAAAATGTAGCCAAATATATATATAAAGTTGTTTTCTATACTAATAATTATAAAAAGAAGATTTTATTAGATAATAATGTTTTATTACATTTAATAATATCCAATCAATATAATCAAGTATATATTTTTTTCTCTGGTAGCACAAATACTATACAGGTTAATGGCAATATATATATATATATATATATATATTGTATAAAATATATGAAAATGTCTAATAAAAATCTAATTAAAAAGTTAAATATAATTTTAAGAGAATATTTAAAAAAGTTCAAACAAGTAATAATTTGTCTTATTTTATAAATGATTATAACAGTATCAAATAATGTAAATATAAGATAATACTCTATACATTAATTATATATAGTCAATTTATAATATCAATATTGAATGAAATTTTAATGAGTTTGATAAACAATAATGATCTTAACTGTATATTAAATAATATGTAGCTAAATACAGTGTTCAATAATAAATGGGCTTAGGCTCTTACAGATGTCTTTGAGCAGAAAGGACTATTCTTTCTTTTAATGTTAGTATACTTTGGCGCTGGTCAGAAGGCAACATAGCTATTTGTGCATCAGTTAATTGCAATACTTGCATTATCAAGGTAGCCTGAAAAAATTAACGTTTAATTTAAATACACAATGTAAATATGTTAATATGTTAATGCAAACTTTTATTACTTTTTCAGCATCAGATGCACTTTCACTGTTAGAACCTTGTTGTGATTGACCAGACTGACTTATTCGTGTAAGTTCAGCTAAGATAGGTGGAGGCGGTCCTGTCATTAATGACGGAGCTGTTAGTGATGATGCAGTCATAGGTGGTGGCATTGTCATTGGTGGTGGCATGGTCATTGGTGGCGGTATATTCATAAAACTATTATTTACCCTACTATCTCTATACATATTTCCATATGGTCGATTATTATCCATTGCTGACGATCGTGGATGACCTCTAAAATAACATGACATTTTAAAAATAATAATTTATGATTTGATAAGGCATATAATAAGTATTATATGATAAGTCATATAATAGTTCACTATTCCAAATATAAGCTATATTTATAGCTATATATATATATAAATTATCTAGGCAACTATATTTGTAATACACAATAATTTCCAGATATTCTGTTTCACCCTTAATATAACCAACAAAAAACACACATGAAAATTTAGTTTTTATTGCAATTATCATTATGCAACTGAATTAGATTTTTTTCTTAATAATTTCTGTAAACAAAGAAGATGCTTAAATATAATGATTTGCTACAGAGAAACAAGAATATTACTGGATTTTTGAAACATACTGTATATACAACCGACTAGAAAAAATGATATTTATTTAAAATATAAATAAATAAAAAAAATTGTTCATATATAGAAAATTAAATGAATAAATAAATAAAAGTATAGCCTAGAGTATTATTATACTTATAAAATACAACTGGTTTCAAACTACAAAATTCATCGTCAGATATATACAAAATCAATAAAATAACAACTGAATATGAAAAAATAAAACTGTGACTCCTTAAGTTGCAATTTTATTTTTTCATATTCAGTTGCAATTTTATTCACTTTGTATATATCTTATGATGAATTTTTAATTCAAAACTGATTATACTTTCAAATATAATTTTACTCCAGGCTAAGCTTTTATTTATTTATTTCTATGTATAAACTAATAGTTTATTTATTTCCATGTATAAACTAATAGTTTATTTATTTAGATACATATTAATTTACAAGTATTGATAATTTATTTTAAGTTTTTAATTTTAATTTAATTACTATTATTTTGTTAGATATTTATTTAAGAAAATATTATTTACGAAAATGACTTTGACGTTTCAACTGGCATAGATGTTGGTGGTGGAGGAAATCTCATTTGATTTGATTGATGTCTTAAGTGGTCATGATTACGATTCATATTACGATGCCAGTCTATATTATCTGCAAACATAAATAATACAATATGTTGTGCAGCAAATACATAAAAGATTAAAAAAAAAATAAAAAAAATATGCAATTATTTCCTACCAGGTGGTGGAGGGTGAGTCATTGATGGAACAAATTTTCTCCACTGATTATTATTAGGCATTTGAGGCATTTTATGAGGCATTTGATGAGTCATTTGGCGAGGTATTTGATGATGCTGTTGTTGATGCATTTGGTGATGCATTTGATGAGGCATTTGTTGATGCATTTGTTGATGCATTTGTTGTTGCATTTGTTGTTGCATTTGTTGTTGCATTTGTTGATGCATTTGTTGATGCATTTGTCGAGGCATTTGTTGAGATATTTGATGAAAAACTGGGTGAGTTCTTGAAGTAGATGCATTTGTAGGAATCTGTGGTGGTGCAGGAACTTTATGAGCAGGATATAGCATTTTCTAAAAAAATTATTTAAATTATGATGGAATATTTAATCATGATTAGACAACATAAATTAATTAAAAAAATTATAAAAACATGAGTATTAAATTATTATTCTTACTGAGTTATGTAATAACAATAATTATTTTTATTTTCTTCCATTCACTTTTTAACTAAGCCATTATATAAGATCTAATTGTATGACTATATCTTTAAAATATCTACCAATATTGTTTTGAAAACAAATTTATTAAAATAAATGTTCATTCCAACTCCCATTCAAACCCTAATATTTTAGTTAATAAATTTAGGTAATAAATAATATATAATACATATATATATATGCATGGACAGTGGATTTTACTTAATATGGGTATGTTAGAACCAGTTTTCCATTTGCCTACATTAACCAACATTTCTCATAAAAACGAAATTAATAAAAACCAAATAAGTTTTAAATTTTAAAAAAGTGTATCTCATGAGACATGCATAAAGTAAAAATAATAATTAATTTAAATTTTTTTCACCATGTACACACATAATATGTATTAGTTTGATATTGTGTCTATTTATTCATAAACATAACAAACTAATAGAGTAATAAACTGATCATTATTCGTTTTTTACATAATTCTTCAGCTTAAGCTTCTTATATGGGCCCAGAAACAAGAACGCTATGGTTCATTATCAATTAATACCGTTTATTCACTGTGTTATTTAAATAACACTTAAATGAAATAAAAACTACTCGTATAAACCGAATCAAATGAATATTTTAAGTGGTGTTATTTGGTCTTTTAAACATAGGTATATTAGAACTGAGACCAAATCATTATGCCAATATTAAGCAGATGCACATTTTAACTAGTGACTACATTAAGTAGAATACACTATATATATATATATAAGGCATCAGAAAAATTAACATTTTCAACTTGATACTTTTATCAAAATTGATAGTTGAAAACTTCTATAATAGGTGCTTTATTTAAATTATTAAGTTAACATATAAAATTATTTATATAATTCACTACTAATTATTCTAAACTTACTTTAGCAGCTTCTGGTTCCACTATTTTCATTATAACTTGAGCTTGCAACAATGCATAACCAAGTTGAGGATTTTGGAGTAACATATTTCTAGCTTCTACTGGATTATTCTGAAATTATGTCAATAATTAAAAATTATTTAATTTTAAAATATATATATATATATATTTTTAATAAATTACTTGAACACATTCTTTCATTTGTTTCATAAGGTCATACAATTGATCTGGTGGTAAATTTGAGACCACATTGTTAATGACCTCTGGAGCTTTTTCTGCATCTACTGCCTCACCATAATGACTTTCAGATGTAGGCATACCCATCATCAATGCTATAACGGACATATTAAAAATTAGATAAAATTTTGATAGTTAAAATTTATAGCAAATAAATAGTCACATTGCATTTCAAGTCTAGATTTCTCTGTACAAGCATTGTCAACGCGTAGAGTACGGCCACCAATTTCATACCCGTTGAGATTGCGCATAGCACTTAATGCAGTCTCTTGATCTTTATACTCACAAAAACCATAACCTTTGGGTTTACCAGTTTCTCGGTCATAAACCAACCTATAAAAATAATTTGAGTCAGTTATAAAATTAATTAAATTGTTGTAGTTTATTTACTTGAATGATATAACAGGTCCTACTTCGTTAAAAATATCTTTTAGTTTTTCTTCAGTAGCCTCATAAGGAATATTTCCAACTGAAAAGATTTTTTTAAATATGAAAAAATTTCTAACTTAAAACTCGTTAAATAGAAACATACCAAAAACACTTCGTATGGACTTATCTAAGATATTTTGATCCGTCATTTTGCCGATGTTTTTTGAGAGGTGAACAAAGTTGAAGCTCAAAGGTATAGGAAAATTATTAATAGTATTAATTTTACAACAAATGACTTGCAAATACTTTTTCCGTGGTTGAATGATAAAAACAATCGGGACACAAAAACGTTGAGGAGAACTAAACGCTGAATATTTTAGATAACGAGCACAAACGCCGACTGTACATGGTATTTTGTTTACAATCGTAATCGTGGACAGTCGGGTGGTTATGATGATAGCGATACAGTGTATTTACAGGGTCGCCTCCACACGAGTCTTATATTTTCGATATTTTCATTAGATTCATCAATTTTGGACAAAAATTACATTCATTGCCCAATGTTTCAATTATAATTAAATCGTTTCTTACAGCAAAATTACGACTAGAACCGAATCAACAACGTGTCGATGCCAAGGAATTATTGTCATATTAATTTAATGCAAACGAAACGCGACATAAATAACATACTGATTAATAATTATATTTCAGTATTGAAGCTTGTCAACTAGATTTTCCACAATTTTATCTACGTTGAAGATTTTCGTGGATCAAAACGAAAAATCCAAGATTTATAATTTTTAGGATTATCTGTAAATCTTTGAAAAAATCTACCTCGTGTTCGGACACACGAGTTGATAACGATAACATTTATCACGAGACCTATTATCGTCGACCGATTAGTGCTAGTAGTGAAATCGTTATTAATATTTCAATAGAAATTAAAATATAAATAATTTTAATCATCATTAATTATTATGCTCGTAAATTATTTACGGCCGACCGAAACATTACTAGGCATCGGCAACAATCTCTACTGTTAATTAAAACGATTATCGTTTTGGTCTCTCTTCACTCTCTCTTTCCATCTCGTTAATAATTGTCGATTATCAAAAGCAATTCTTGCCCGTTGAATATTATCGTGTATATTGAACACGGCGGGGAGTTAATATACATAAGCTTGTTGTAATTTATATCGTTGCATAACATTTTTACCGTTTCAATTCCTTTCCCTTTACAAATCTATTAAATGAGACCAGTGTTATTCCAGACTACGACGAAGGCTTTATATCGTAGCGTATTCACGTATTCGAACAAGCGCGCCAGAAAAATGGTAAGTTGTAATGACCCTGTATTACTCGAAAAACATTCAACAACAATTAAAAATAATGTATACATTTGTTGTTTTGTTGTAATCATCCAAGACAATATGCTTACAGAGATAGTTTACCATATTAATTTATCACCTAAATCTTTTTTCATTTAACCATTAAAATTAGTATAAACCCATGTTGTGAAAATATTTTTCTGACATTTTTAGTAATACACTATCTTCATACTATAGCAAAAAAGTAATGGTAATGTAGTTTTATGACAATAATGTGTATAATATTATTGGATATCATTGTACTTTATACGACTGTTGGTACAATAATTGTTTTTCTACCTAAACTCAGGAACACTGAAACCAATGCACATGTAGAGCATTTGCCTAAAAGTTTACAAGACTGTCTTACTTCTTCTGATTAACCATATATTTTCTGTTCTACCAATTTAACTATAGATTTGTGAAAAACGATGCGTGTCCCGGTTGAATGTTATTTTTTTGCCTCACAACATAAAAGTAATTTCAATGCCACTGCTGTAATTGACTTGACATAGTATTATGTAACAAACAAAAAATACTTTTTGTGTACCTTAGAATGAATCGAAATTTGGTTCAGTAGCCTTATGAAATTTTACAAATCACTATCGTCTTTGACCTATTTCAATTAAATTTCTTTATATTTTAATAACATGAGATAAACATTATTAATTCATTAATTCATTTCTATATTAATGATCTATTACTGTTTAATGATTATGTATAATTTTTCTTTATATGATTTCATGTTAATTCTAATGCATAAAGCTTCTTGTTGGATAAAAAATAATTATGACACTAATTTGTATTTTTTCAATCTATTTTTATTTTACTAGCTCTGATCAAATAATACATTTTTTCAAAACATGCAATGAATAAATTTATATTGTGCAGGATCTGATATCCACCAAGAATTGAAAAATTAAAATTAAATTTAAATTTTTATTTTCTTCGAAGTAATTAATTTTATTATAAATAATATTGCTAGTTAATTAAATTTAGGAATTTGATTATTATTCATTAGCAAAAATTATACCATAATTAAAGGAATTCAACTATAAAAAAAACAATATTAATGTAAGATAGCTTTATTATTTCACTAAAAATAAATTATCCTAAAATATTATTATCAATTGTTTACACAAATTTTTATACTACATTTTTGACTCGAAAGTATATTACCCGTTAATCTTATATAATAATAAGAGCTAAATTACCTAGCCTTGCGCTGATGATGTTATACTATTTTATAAATAGGCCAATTACTAATTTAATGTAAATATAAATGTTAGTTGAATAAAATGATAAAATATTCTAAAGATATTTATTTTTCATTCATTTATACTATAATTATATACATATATCTTGATCAATAAAACCAATATAAAAGAAAATATTTCCTATATAACCAAAAGTGAAAAAAATTATACATCCAGTCTTTCAAAACTTTTGATTTTGTAATTTTTGAAAAATCTATTCTCTAAATAATCCTGTACATAATAATAAATACATTCCCTCAAAGTTTTAAATTGATTAGTATGGTAGATTTGGCTGTATTCCAATCAGTCAGTAAGTGGTATTTCAATTTTATAAACTTAGGTTTTTTATGAAATGTTGTATTATTTACTTTATTAAAAAATTAAATCTTCAGATTATTAAAAAAAAAAAAAACTATATAATATGAATTTATTTTAATTAAATTTAAGAATTGATTATATATTTTATCTTGTAAAAATAATACATTTTTATTTATAATTCTAGCCAAGTCTATTAACTAAAGAACAGCGAGAAGTACAGCTTCAACCTTTGTTCTCTAATAATTGGTCATTGGTTAAAGATAGAGATGCCATATACAAGGAATTTTTGTTCTCTGACTTTATTCAAGTAAATATTCTTTATTTATATATTTTATAAACATGTATTAGTTATATTTTTATTGCTCACAGGCTTTTGGGTTTATGTCTCAAGTAGCATTAAAAAGTGAAAAAATGAACCACCATCCTGAATGGTTTAATGTGTACAACAAAGTACAAGTTACATTATCTACGCATGATGTGAGTGGATTATCATTAAATGATATTAATCTGGCCTTATTCTTGGACAAAACAGAAAAAAGTATCAAAGGATCTTCTTAACTAGTTTTAAAGTTTTAAATGTAACAAATTAACATAAATAAGAGTAAAAAATGAAAAATGAAAATAAATGTATGTTTCAATTATGTTACAAAAAATTTACTTTTCATTGTTCTTAATTTAGTACACAAACTTGCCCCAAGAAGTCTCAATTTCCAAAATCTAAGGTTTTCAATAAAATATAAAATTCTGTTTCTTTTAAGTACTATATGAGTAATATAAATTATATTTTATTTAATTAATTTGAAATATGTGGTGATGGTGAAGTACTTGTACATATATACAAATATATGTAACAAATATTGAAGCTAAAAATTAATATTTTGTTTCAACATTCTTATAAATTTATAATATGAAAATGCTAAATAAAAGTATTTTAAAATTTAAAAACCTATTTGATTTAAATTAAATTAAATGGGTAAATATCTACTTATTATTAAAAATATTTTTGAAAACCAAATTTAACGTCATTCATATATAGGGCAGTGTTTTTATCACAGTATCATATATATTAGTATCATTTGACGTTATATCTGTGATTAACAGATTTAGAGAGGACTATGACATGGGAATTAAAATTGTTAATGGCAAATCTGGCGAAGAGATATCTGATGACAAAGTAGTTGAGAATGAATCTATTGAATGCGAATTTGAAAAAGATAAATGTGATGATGCAGTATCCACAAGAGGTTTTGAAATAAAATCTTTGTATTTTGGATTGTTATTTTTCGGCCATGAATTATGGTTGCAATACGTGCCGGAAAACCGAGATTTTCACCAGTTTTGGACTTCATGTCTGGGTATCCCGAAAAATGTTTTCAGGACGTCCATATATTCCGGCTTTGACGGTTAGAGGAAATGTAGTATTGTTTAATTTTTAATTTCCACTATTTTATCTCAAAATACAATTTTAATCGTAATCGATTAACAATATTTAATAAAAACATAATTTGTAATTTACATATATAATTATATAATATATTTTATTTTACAACAATATTATTAAATATTATATTGTCGGCCATTAATGTTTCTCTTCAGTGGCGTATACATAACTTTTGTATGAGGGAGGGATCATTTGCAAATAAATTATTATTTTTATTTTCATTTTTTTTTTTTTTTACGTTTCTAACGCCCTCACACTAAGAACATTATTTTATAATATTTAAAAAAAAACCTAGGGAGGATTTGACCCCCACGTTCCCCCCTTGTATACGCCACTGGTTCTCTCAATATATTAAAAGTTATATAAAAAGTATATTACTCAATAATGTGTTTATTTTGTCCCGGTTTCGCCGTATAAATGTATGGCAAATTTAATATAATAAACAAATATAACAGAATATATAATTATATATAATATAGATAGTATAAAATAAACGCGTACGCTAGCGATTAAAATGTATAGTGTGTAACTAACCTGACGCAAGCGTTTTGGATATCATGTTCTTAAAACACGTAGTAGTGTAACCACCTTTAAGTTCGAATGAATTTCTAAGTTATTAAATCGATTTCCAACGTAGGTAAATAAATATTACGATTAATACAAGTTCTCAGAATAATATTGATAACCAAAGAGGTCATTTTAGTAGTGTTCAAAGAATATTTGTTGATGATTATAAAAATAAAACATTAATAAATAATAATTATTAAAAAATTCACAAAATTAATAATTATTATATAGGTAACATAGGGTAATGTACAAATACTAGGAAAACACTCGAGAAATGCAAATCACTATAATGTCCTTAGACTGGGATTAAAACACTAGTTGCAGTCAGGCCCTATTTATGCAAGTGCAGATGAAGCTCTCGCACTTGGCCCTTAATTTCTGGGGGCCCTCGGTCTCCGTAAGTAGTAGAAAATTGTTTTTTTAAAATTAATTCTACAAAAATTTATTTTGTAAAATGTAATACCAACTTTCAATGTTTAGAGTTCAGTATATTTTTATCATTACATTTTCAGTTGAGTTTCGGTTATTTTTGTGATTCACATCCCAGCGATTATTAGTTACCATCATAAAATATTAAAATAATAATAATATAAAATTGTTTGAACATCGGAAATATTTGATATCTAATAACTATTTATAGATTTATTCGAGCCCAGTATTTACAGATTAACCCGTCGTTGGTTAGTTGGTTATGAGCATTTATAATAAATTAAAAAAAAATTAAATTAAATTAAATAATAAAACCCTTAAATATTTTTAATATTTTAATATATTATAATTTTGTTATGTTATTTAATTAGTATTATCTTTTCATTGTTCTGAATTTACTAGACAAAATAACTAAATTCTATTTATAGTACATGAAATAATGTACAAATATTTTATGAGTTTTAAAGGTACCTATTTAACACTTTTAACATATAATTTTTTTTATTTTTACTATCATTATTATTATTATTTTTTCTAGAACATTTTTTTTAACTTGAGGGGCCCAAAAAAAAATTGTGCATTTGGCCCTAGTTATATTATATTAGGCCCTAGTTGCAGTGTAGTTTTTCTTTTAATAATATTACCATTAAATCTTCATTGAATAATGTAATTTATTTAAAGCCATATATTATAATAACTAGCATACTGTAATTATATTGATTCCCGATAAGTATTTAATTAAATAATATACTATAGCCACTGAATATAAATTTATTAACTTGCATATGACGCTAAAATGGTAAATAAAATATTTTGAATATAAAATAATTGAAACATTGCTGGTACAGCGATTGGTTATAATTATGTTGTAATTCTGTACAATTGCCAAAATGTAATTTAATTTATAGATTTGTTTAAAAATATATATATATTATATTACACTACAATTGGTTCAATAACTAGATTTATCTTAGTCATATACTTACTCATATAATTAAGCTATATGTATATAAATCACAATATAAAAAACAAATTATTATTAAATGCCTAATTGAATAATTTATTAAATATTCCTAATAATATGTCAATATGAATAAGGTACCTATAAAAATAGAAGCTTTTGCATGGCGTATTGCTGTTTAGTATTATAGACAAAATTTTAGTGCATATTTTATAAAAAATAATAAAAACTAAAAATGATTAAATGGTGAATAATGTTTATTATGGGTCATAAGTAATAACTTTTCGCTAATAACTAATAAAAGTAATGACTCTAAAATAGCTTCAATAAATTATTTTCTGGCAAGAAAAAAACAATGGCGGAGGGAAAGTCAGGGTACTCTCCTTGATTAAGCCACTGAATGCAAAACACTTGTTTGTGCACACAATTTTACTTGAAGGAAAAATATTTGAAACTGAGCGGCTCTTTCAACATGAAATTTTTGAATAATCATTTGTCATACAATATATATTTGTTATTTCGTAATCCATATTTCTGTGCTCGTTGGACGAGAGAGTTATCGAAACTAAAGCTGAAAAATTATATTAAGATTTTAATACATCAGTTTGTCGATGGATAATAAATACGAGTATTAATAAAGTTTATCGAAGTGTAACGATTATAATACATTATATTACGATATATATATGTTTCAATCATAAACCTTTTATTATCGGCAATATTGTAGTCTGTGTGTATATAGGTATATAATAATATGTACCTACGTATAAATATATTGCATATTATTGTATTAACGAGTAGTATTTTATAATATTTTGTGAGCGATGAGGTGGTTCCTTGTACAATAATTTATGCGCAAACTAATTTTAGCTAAAAATCTAAATGTATTTTTGGTCAAAGCTCTCACAATTTAACAATTTTTTACAATTTTGGAGCTTAATATTATGAATTTTTTATTTATATTAATATAAAATATACGTCTGCTAGTGTATGATGATTACAAAATATATATATTAAAAATAAATAGCTTCCTATTAAGGAGTTTTTTTTTTTTTTTGGCGATTATCATGCGATAATATACAATGCACGTAAATAACTGACTCCACAACGTTATTGCAAACTCCGTAACCTCGAAGGAAGAAAAACAGGTCTCCGCGCCATCTTAAATTATCACCAGAGACATGATATCGGCGGCAGTGTGTTTTGTAACATTTTAAATTTAGACAAGGCTATTGACCGGGTAAATGCAAATGGTTACATTAAAAAAAAAAATTACTGATTTTTTAAAAAATAAATACAAACATTTATACTTGATATATATTTATATGTATATTCTATAAATATGTATATAACTATATATTATTAAAATGAAAACGGATACGTATTTGTAGTCTGTTGGTTTAAATTTTGAATTTTTTTTTAAATCTCGTTAAAACAAATATTATTGGTTAATAATGCTATTGTTACAACAAACTTTCGATGTACCCAAATTCTTCTGTTTCCTAGAAATTCGTTATATTGTGAGAGAACTGTAAACAGTATATATATATATATAAATACACATATATACACATTAAATACACATAAATACACATTATATATACACATAAATTTAATATTTTTCATGAAAATTAAGTATAAATCTAAAAACCCTTTGTATTATTTTGAGATAGTGAAAAAAAATATTTAATTTATAATTTTTATTTTTACATAAAATTATAATATAATTAATTTAATTACATAGAATACGAAATTATCTCAGAAGATTAATTTTTGTTTTATTCTGAACCGAATCTGATTTCATTGTTGTCTTAATAATAATAACCATATTTTCACACAAATTATTCAGCTTTTTGGTTTTTGGGCTCGATTTGTTTTTATAATGATTTACAAAACTCTTCACTATGAATTCTCATTCAAAACATTTCTCAAGATTACTCCGTCTTTAATACCTTATATATATATATATATATATGCCTTGCTGCATTTGCATGTATCATCATTATATATCGAACCACAAAATTATATTAGATACAACTAAAATATGTTACACCGAGGACGAATGTTTTTTGGATGAAAATAGGTATTTTGACCACAGATTCACTCAAATAAAATAAATCATTATCTGCAGCGGTTGGTATGCATTTTGCCAAAAACCTGTCAAAAGTCAAAACATGATATTTAGTTTGGTGTTTAGTTTTTACAATGATGGTAATACTTCTGTCAAGTTACAAAGATTCTGTTTTTATGATTATTTTGCTTTTAAAATAAATTTTATATTAATAACTTTAACAGTGAAGAAATACTTATTTAACCATGTTTAACTTGACTAACCTTCTTATTAGTTTTGTATTATTCTATG